GCAGCAGCAGCAGCAGCAGCAGCTTCCCTACAGGAGTCTGCCCTTTTGTTTGCCTTCCCTGATATTACATAACACTTACTACAAGTGGGAGCTCTCTGCCGACGATGAAGAAGAGGAGGGTGAGGATGAGGATGAGGATGAGGATGATGGCGGTGGTGGTGGTGAGAATTCATCACTCCATCCATGGGAACATGTGGCGCGAGTACAGCTATGACATCATTCCACGCGCCGTGGTGTGTTTTTTAGGGGAGGAATGATGTGCACGGAGTCTGCACCAGGCTTAGAAACGCGCGCGCGCGAACGCGCACAAACACATGTAAAAACCCCAGTAGTGACAGGACAGAAACATGTAGAGAGAGGGAGGAAGAGAGGGAGAGAGGGAGAGCCTCACCTGACTGGAGACGGAGAAGAAGCTGCTGATGCTCAGTGTTTGTGTCAGTGCAGGGTCGATGGCGCGGCTGATGCGCACGCAGTGAATCGACTGGATCACTCTGCGAGTGTGTGTGTGTGTGTGTGTGTGCGCAAACACTTGAGGGAACACCCCGATTTTTTGACATGAGGGGAGCGCAGACAGATTCTGCGCCGTAAATGCTGCTGCTGCGGCTGCCGTGTTGCTGCTGCTGCTGCTGCTGCGGCTGTCCTCAAACCGAGCCTGAGGCTGCAAGGATGCGCACGTCTGGTGATGGCTTGTGGGTAACGCTTTAACCCAAGGATCACCCAAAAGGATATGGTGAAAATGTAATAAATATGCGAGGCGTTTTGTTATTAAAACTTAGCTTTTTTACGCAGAGCTCGGTGTTTTTTTTAATTTTTTTTGTGCGTAAAGTGGATGTTTTTTTACGCACGTCTCCGTGCAGAGAAGGTGCATTCTGTGGCACAAAAAAAGGCACATTTTGGCCTGCAGCGAGCATGCAGCGAAGTCCACACTAACACACACACACGCGCATGCATTAATACACACTCTGTTGCAACACGTGAACGCCCTGCAACGGAGGGAGGAGAAGGAGGGGCCAGGGAAAACCCCCTCACCGTCTCCCTGCAACAGTCGCTCAAACACACCACTACGTGCACATTTCAACCGAAAAAAAACAACCTGGACACACACACAAAGACAGAGGGGCCGGGAGTGTGTGAAATGACTTCGCAACACAACAAACAGCGGCAACACTGCGACAAACACAACAACAATCTGCGAGTCGTTTTTTTTCTTTTCTTTTAAAGGAACCACTTTAAATCGAAATGCGAGTCGGACCGAACCACACACACACACACGCACACTTTAACACGAACCCCAGTCCTGCTGTGTTCGGCTGCAGAGACCGTAGAACAAGCAACGACCTGACTGACAGACCGACACACAGAACACCCCCCCTCCTAGCTCCCCCCCTCCCAGTTCTCCACACCGGAACAAACACACGCACACTCGGGGAATACGGTACCACGAAAACAACACAAAGTGAGTGTGGAGATACTCACGGGTGCAGTTCAAGTGTCACACACCTTATACTTGAAGCAGGCAGTAAACCCGGGGAACAGCAGCTTCACCTTGTCGCTCACTTTCTATTGCAGGAAACAGACAGGCCCTCTGACGTCAGCGGGGGTCCCGTCTCCGCCTCCCAGCTAGGGGGTGAACACAGCCGAACAAAGGGGGCTCCCGACGGCCGCCACACGGGCAGCTTTCAGAGCTCAGCTCGAAGGCGGCAACGGCTCCTCCTGAAAGAAGCGAATTATTTTCCAGAGTTTAACAATGTGTCGATTGGCTTTCATACAGTATGAAATAAAAAAGAGAATAAAATACCTCATTTGTGTTTTATTGTTTAGTTGTTAACGAGAAGACAGTAAGTAAGAGTACGTGGTGTTAGTGTGAGTGCAGCTCAGTGTGATGGAGTTTAAACCCACAGAAGAATTACCTTTGACACAATTTTAAAACATTAACCTTCTAATTTATTATCTAATTTAATTTATTATTATATCAAAAATATTGTTTGTGCTAAATAAAGCTAACTATCAATAAAACAAGAGGACGGAGATGCCGACAGAAAATGTCTGTTCTAAAGTCTACCCCTAAATACTGCAAACGGGGGAAAAATACAACATTTGGAAGAAAACTATGAATAAAAAAAACACTGTCTGTGTTTCTGTGCAATACTCAAACGGAACATTAAGCTGAAATGAAAGAAAACCAGAAATTAATTGAAATTATATCGACATTATTTTAGCGCTGTTAGCAACACCTGCTACTCGGTACTGACAAGCAGTTATTTTTTTACTCAAAAGTCTGTATCTCTATGGATGAATAATGTATAAAAAATTAACCAACCATTATCCAGAATTCAGAAGTGATTCGCATTAACTCCCGCATTAGCTGCACCGACTATTTACACCACCCCTAAAAAAATACTATTTTTCTATAGCTTTTTAAAGGTCGTTGCTGCGGTGCTGAATAGTATCGTCCCGTTGTGACCCCCCCCTCCAGTGACGGGCCCCACCTCCCTCTCTGTGCACATACTTTAGGACTGACGGTTTTCCCGGAGGTTCCTTGTTGTCAGGTCACGTCGTGCCCCTCCGCCACTTACGACCGGGCTTTCCCATGTTCTACCCGGCAGAGAGGACACTAAACTGCGCCTCTCCGAGCTCCGAGACCGCGGTCCGGTCCGTAGGTTTTAAACTGTAACGACGGGGCTTTCGTTTGTGACAAAACAATCGTAGCAATTCAGATTCAAGCACAAAAAAGCAGCACTGTTTTATGGGTTTGGCTTCTCAAAAACCACGTGATTGACCCTTAAATGTCCAGAACATTACATTATCATTCATCATTCACCTCCGCAGCCTTTTAACAGCTTGTAATGGCAAAAAAACAACATATAGTTTCCCCCAAAAAAACTCTTTTTCAGATAACACAGAGAAACAACATATAGTTTTCCCCCAAAACAACTCTTTTTCAGAAAACACAGAGCAAAACAAAAACAAAAAAAAAGTTTATCTCCAAACATAAAAAAAAAAAAAAAACGTTTATCTCCAAACCAAAAAACAAAACAAAAAAACAAAAAAACGTTTATCTCCAAACATGGCTTACGAAAAGAAACTTAATAAATAATAAATATAAATAACAATAAATAAATAAAATCTTCAAATTAGCCTAAATTTGCATGGAATACTAGCAGTAAAATGCCAAAAAAAGCAGCTAAAAAAAAAGCTATCCTACCTTATTCTGGGGCAGTGCCAAATAGATAAAAGATGAAAAAAAAATTAGCAGTCAAAGTCAAATATATCTACATTTCTACAGGAAAGGGCATTTAATTTATAATTAGGATTATTTTGTTAAAACGTACCAGAAAATATCAAAGGTTAACTAAAAATGTTAGCCAACAAATATTAAGTGATATAAGAAATCACTAAACATAAGACAAGGCAGAAATAAGAAGAAAACAAAAAAGATCAAAAACACAAAAATACTGCACAACCTCAGCTCAGAACAGACTCAAAGATGGCTGTGAAAAGCTAAAGCGCTAACACAAACTTAGCCCAAAATGAAAAAAGGCGACAACAACAATCAGCCAAGACACAACAACAAGCTCAAAACACAGGGCAATAATCACTTCACTGGGGCTAAACCAAACATCACACACATCTGTACATACACACACACACACACACGTGTGTAAAGGTCCTATCGAATCCTACACACCGACACCTGACCTTTAGGTGTTCACCCTCACATTTTTCCCACAGTCTTCTGGGTGTTGTTGTGTTGATTTCACTCAGATTTTCCACAGTAGTAAAATTAGACAGTTAACCTTAAACTAATGAAAAAAAAAAAAACCCAGAGAGAGCAGAGGAAAATTTCACTTTTTAAATCTGCGTCTAACGCCGTGAAACAAGGCCAACAGCCCACACAGAGGCTGCGTCTCACAGCCCACTCTGTCTGCACCAGCACCGTGATAAACATGGACACAAGCTGAGGCACTTCACTGATGTAGTTATCAGATGGTTTATCTGTGGACTGTCTCTGTGAATGACCAGGCCTGGTCACTGTGAACAGCACTGCTTGAAACTATGTCCACGGTGATGGATGGATGGATGGATGGATGGATGGATGGATGGATGGATAGATGGATGGACTAAGGAGGATTTTGTTTTCTAGATTCCCACTAAGACAGACGACATCCAAACAGTGTTTTTCTTTCCCCGCAGGATGAGGTCGACTGTTGGTGTGAATGCGAGTGTGAATGTGAGTGTGAATGGTGTTGTCTGTCTCTACATGTGACCCTGTGATGGACTGGACTGAACTGTCCAGGGTGTGACCCTGTCCTCACCTGCTCTCTGCTGTGATTGGCTCCAGCTCCGTTAGCATCCTGGAAAAACAACAAGTGGCAGAAAATTAATGAATGAACCAATGACAACGGACATGTGGCATCAAACCTGCGCCTAAGGCTGAAGTTGGTGAATGATTCTTAAAACACCAGAGCAGGACCTTGACTTAACACGTATATATATACACAGAATATGTATATATGTGTGTGTGTTAACACTGTCACCTGAGGAAAACTTTTCCTGCGAGGCGGGGGGGGGGGGCATGAACTCATTAATAAGTGACAGCCGCCCACAGCTCCTATCACAGACTGCAGAGTGGGACTCCAGGCTCTGCAGTCACTGCTTTATGACTCACCTGTTTTAAAATGCAACCGCTTTAAATGGCAACACATGAATAGTGGAGGATTTTTTTTTTTTTAAACATTCATACAGATTTTTTTTTTGAACTAACGCGCGTGGGAGTTTTGCATGAATGAAAGAAGGAACGAACGAAGGAGTCCATGTTCAAACCTACATGAAGGGAAACACAACAAAGGTTCAACAGTTAAGATCTGTCTCTTTCTGCTCGGTGACACATTACCTTCTCTGCTGTCTCAAACTCCCACACACAAATCCAGGATGTTTTCTAGGTTCTTCCGTGTTTTAACCGAGAGAGTGCGATGTGAAAAAATGGTTTCAAATGAGACCAGCTCCCTGACTTGGAGACAGTTTGTTTGGTTTATGCGGCTGCGATGCCAAGAGCGGAACAATTGTTTATTAATTGAGCCTTCAGCTGCCACTCTTTCGGCATGAAGTCAGCGCGAGTTGCGGGAACACGTCACAGGGTTCTGTGGTTAGAACTGAACCGGAGCCAGATGAGGTTTTAGGGTTCACGACAAATGTGGTTTTGCTGCAGCAAAGTCTGTTGATTCACTGGAGAAAAAAAAAGCATTTCTTAGAAAAAGGCTTTAACCCCACACTAGGGCATTTAATGATCATTTTCTCTTCACTTTGTGAAGTTACTCTCAGCTTCTCTCTCTGGATCCATTTGGACAATTTCTGCTATATTTTCGAAAATAAATTTTGCATTAAAATTTTAAATTTGGCCAACGTTTACTAAGGCTTTTTAATATGTATTTTATCATAGGTTTAACTTGATATCATAGCTGTTAATTTCTGTAATTATTTATTTAGTTGTTAGTTTTAAGCAACTAGGAATTTGTTGTTACCAATTGGTCAATTTAGAGCCATTCTTTTGGCTAATTTGTAGCATTTTTGCTACAACTTTAGCAGGTAATGTTGTGAAACTACTGTTTCACAACATTTGCTAGTTTGGGACCAGTGGTTAATTCAATTTTGTTGACTAAATCTAAAACTACATGGACATGCTAACTCACGCTAGCCCAAGGAACAACAGTTGAAAAGCCATGATCTGGATGTAGCTATTAGCTACCCATTAGCAAGAGCTCTTCAACATCTATTTACAGACAAACCTCCCGTGAGCCTGAACTGAGGAGAAAAGAGCGCCACCTCTAGGTCAACATCCAGGTCAAACAGGATTTACTGTTCAGGCTCAGAGACAGTTAAAGATCGGTGATAAGAATCGGACTTTTTGGAGCTCCTCCACGTGAGAACTTCAGTGATAACGGCGTCTGAAGCGTCCGTCAAAGAGAGCTCGTGTTTCTGCAGCGTCAGTTCAGCCTCAGAGCAGAGTTCAGCCTTATTAACAGACGGGGACTTCCTCAACTGCCCCCACAGCGCTGTTTGTAAATGGCAGCAGGGCTATTAATATCCTGGAGTGGATTCAGAAAATAACCACAGCTGCCGAGCAGAATCTTCAACAATAAGCTCTTATGTTGGGGGGAGGGGGGAGGAAGACAGCGGGGGGGCGACGTCGGTGGCTGTTCTCCATCCAAAATAGATAGTTGTTAACTTAGAACGTACAAAGAAAGAGTTGTATTCACACAGGGATGCTACTGTGTCTCCTGTTTTTCTTGGCTCACAATAAGGCGGTTGGATAAAACTGATGTTTTCGTCTCATTACCCCCCCTCGTCCCCCCCGTTCCCCCTCCCCGCTTCATTCCACTGCCGTTGATTCAACCGTAAAAAAACAAAACAAAACAAACAACATAAATACATGACAGTGGTTTCTGTCCGGTGCAGATAAGCTCCACCATCACAGTCCACACCCACTCTCCTCCCACACCCACTATATCTCAGGATTTTCAATTAAGGCCGACGGGCGGGATTGTAAAAGGGTAAATGATGGGGGCGCTAACCTGCGCTGCCTTCACTGTGATTTGAATTCACTGCTCAGTATTTATCAGCAGGGCGGCGCTGCAGAATCACAGACAGACTGTT